TTCCATTGCATGTTAAATTCTGATGAGTTGGTGTTGATTGGGCAATGACATGGACCAAATTTGTTGGACCTTGGTTAGCTAACATGGCAATATAATATTTGAAAAATTATCCAAGGACAACTTTTTGTATAACCTTATGTATTATTTAAATGATTGGCTAATTTGTTCATTTGGGACTCATAATATTAAATGCATCTACTTATTTAATTATATGTAAAAATTGCATAAAAAATTATATAAAAAAGTTATCACTATATCACTATCCGTAATATTTTGACTCAAATCAAATGAATTTGATTCACGACACTATCTAATCAACACCCACACCCAACACCAACTCATCAGACTTTGATGGGCAATGGACAGTTTAACGATTGGATAACATCATCTTTACTAAAAGGGTTGTTTTGGGAATTTCATGAAGCAAAGGGGCTGATTTGCCATGGTTTAAAGTATAGGGACTAACTTGCCACAACATTGCAAGTACAAGGGGTAAATTGCACCTTTTGCCTTTTTAATATAAGATGTTATGCTTTTTTCTTTAAGATCAAATCCTCATTTTGGTTCCTCTACTTTGTTAAAAAGCTCTTTTTAATCTTTTTACTTAAAAAAACCGCCTTTTGGTCCTTAAAGTTTGAAATTTGACTCTTTTTTAATCCCTTCGTTAAATTTTGTATATGTAGCACTTTAGTTAATGGAAATTTCAAAGTAGAGGAACCAAAAAAAAGCTAAAAAAAGAGTTAAAATAGCTCTGATTTTATCCCTCTACTTTAGAAAAAAAAATCCCTTTTTAATCTCTTTTTTTTGAAATTTTAGCCATTTAACATCAAAACTTAACAGAGAAACTAAAAAAGGGGTCGGATTTCAAAATTTAAGGACCAATAAGGAGTTTTTTAAGTAGAGGGACTAAAAAGAGGTTTTTTTACCAAAAAGAAAGACCAAATTAAGGTTTTAACCTTTCTTTAATGGAACTATAGAGAGTTGAGTTGAGCTGTAGTCATAAAGTAACAAATTTGTTTACGTAAAAACTCATTCATAAATCAAATATTTCAATTACAAAATTACTTTTCGTAGACATTAGAGGATATCAAACTCTAATGATGCAAATCATGAGAACCACCTTGCGCTAGGTCTCTAAAATGTGATTTTGTGGAAATTAATAGTTTAATACAGATCCTATCATTTCAAACTAAGAGATACTTAAAAATGTTTGATTTCATTAGAGTATTCTAAAAGATATTTAGTAAAACTTAAAAGATACTTACTTTAGAAATATTATTTTTACTTATAAATCTAAAATTTTATTCAAAGAAAACACTTAAAATTAGCTTTTTAAGTGAGTTTTAAACAAGACTTTTCTAGACTTGTTTAAAACTCACTTTAAAGGATAATTTTTGAATTTTTTTAACAAAATTTTGAAATTTATAATAGATGAATAATATTTTTAAAGTAAATACTTTTAAAACTCTATCATACACACTCTCAGTGTTAACATTAAAATCATTAGAGACTGAAAATACATAAAATACGGTTTTGGTTGATATGCTTTCTATGAAGATTAAGGTTTGTAATTTTCGTTTCATATAATTAGTGCTCAACTACCAATATTTTTTCCTTTAAAAGTTAAGTACAGAAAAGTACCTTGCTTTTCTCACCTTTTTCTTCTTATTACAAAACACCTGTCGTTTTCAAGTCCCATTGAAATTAAATTTTAAACAAAAATCTTAAAATCATAAAGTAATTAAAAAAACTTAAGAATAAGGACATAGACTTTTCAAAGTCTAAAGCCCTAAGCCTAGATGGCAAAACCCCAAAAATAAATACATACAAATTCTTAAGATTTAATTAAGACTTAAGAGCACGCGTTGA